GATAGAGTGAAGCCGCGGAAGTCGAAGCACGAAGTGGCGAGGGTTCACTGTATTTGTTTCATAGGATTCGTTAACTTTTGATGAAAAACTATATTTTTTATTCCCTTGAATTACTTCAGTAAACAAACATAACATAAAGAGAAAAAGTGCCAAACAAACGCAGGGTGACTCACTGTCCTTTGCTTCAGCTTTGTGTTATGACCCAAGTCCCTATGAAACATCGGGAGTGAATTATGCAATTCCCAAAAGTGTTCAAAGACCTCAACAATTCTCAGAACAATTGCAGAAAGGGGTTTTTCAAAGATCAACATAAGCTGGCAAGAGAAAAGCAATTGCCTGTTTCTAAGCTAACAAACACAAAAACTATTGTCTAAGCAGCCTACCTCTAAAGGAACGAGATCCTACTCCTACAGTGAAAAGATGGTTAAGGACAAATCACAGAGCTAATGATGTTCAGAAAGTAGCCAAGAATGTTTCAAGTGAGGACACCAATCAGGGAGCAATATGGAAATACCTTAAATCACAGTTTTATTGTTTATGTCAGGGATAGCTTAATATTTTTCATTAATACTTGAAAACTTTTATAACATACTATCATTTTGTGTACCTCTTTTATTGTTCTCATTTAAGTACTATCTGTATGAAATAGTAAACTACCTTTTGGTATATCTTTTTTTAATGCTTAAAATGGTCATTAGGACAGCAAACCAGCTGTCAAATTATAGGCATCCCACCACTGCCCACAGGGACCTACTGAAAGGAAGAAAGCCTAAAGGAATAGTGAAAAGATAGTGCCAAAAGTATAATCAAGAATCAGGGTTTTGTTTTTGTTTTCTTCATAGCTTTGGGAGATATAATTCACTTATGATAAAATCCAATAGTTCAATCATATTTTAAGAGGTTGCGCAATTATCATTATAATCAGCTTTGGAGCCTTTCCTTCTTCTTGTGCCCATTGCTCTCGATGCCCCATTGTCCCACAACCTTCCCTTCCATACCCCCCAGGTAATTAGTAAACTAGTTTCTGTCTTCATATATCCACACATCTTGACTTCCCGATACAAAAAGGAAATAAAAAGCATACAAAACAAAAACAAAAAATGACCCAGCAACAGTGAGCAAATAAAATGGGGGGGGCGGGGGGAAAGTCAATCAAAAACAAAGCAGAACACACAATATTCCTCTGGCTCCTTGAGGCTTCCTCACCACCCCCACCACCATGACTCCTTGATGCCTCTCACTTCGGACTAGACCGGAGCATGTGCACAGATGTAGATGAGAGATAAGAGCCCATGCCACACACAACCCAGGAGCAGGAATGGGAAGAGAGATACCCAATGGGGAGGGAGAAGGGGGGGTGGGGGGAGAAGGGGGGACAATCACAACGATCGGCACACAACCACACACCGCCCCTCCAGGGGAAAGAATAACGGAAATCATGTGGGGAGGAAGAGACAGTGTGAGTCGGTGTGAGATATGAAAATAATAATAATTTATAGCCTATCAAGGGGCCACGAGGGTTGGGGGGAGGGAGGGGGAAAAAGAGGAGCTGATACCAAGGGCTCAATAGAAAGTAACTGTCTAGAAAAGAATGCTAGCAACATATATACAAATATGCCTGCAATTGATGTATGGATTGTAATAAGCATTGTAAGTGCCCTCAATAAAATGATTAAAAAGAAGAAGAAATTCGATTAAAATATATTTTTTAAACTAGAATAAATTCAAAATGGGTTCAAAAAGGTGATCAAATGACAAGGTGTTGCATTCCAGCCTAACTACAGCTGCTAAAATCTACTTTACAATGTTTTTTGTCTGATACTGAGGCTATTCTCATTCCTAGACTATGGTCAGTGGAGATTCACGGGAGACTCAATCCAGATAGGCATCTGCAAATGAATTTTGGATTTCTACTATCCATACATAGCTTTCCAAAAACTGGGTGTTTAGAATTTAGGCTCTGGCACCATTCCCTCCTCCAGGTTTGGATTTTATTACAATCTTTGGATCACACAGGCTAGTGCACTTCCTCCATGTGGATTTAGCTGACTTCCCACTGAGACAAGCCTTTAAGACTGCAGATGCTATTTTTTTCGACTAGCCAGACACCATCTGGCTTCTTCACCACACTTTGCTATAGCACCCATACCTTCAGTGATTTCCTCATGAGGGCAAATCTGGAGCCGAGCCATTGTCACAAGAACAAATTGTTCTTTTATTAGGGCTATGATCAAGTGACCTTGTAGCTAGCAGCCCAACATGTAACCCCTACACCACCAGACTCGTTTTTATCCTCTGGGGTCTATGAAAGTAATGGTAGGCCTTTTTATCAATGGTAACGTACGTGCCCTATTTATCCACTATGAGAACTGTAATCACCTTCTCTGAAATAGACATACCATCTGTCTCTCTTGGTC